GAGAGAGAGAGAGAAGAATCGCGGCAGTTCGATGGAAGGATCGCTTTCACCGAGGAGGAGCGGCGATTCCTCGTGACGCAATGAACGGCGTTTAAAAAGCGGGGAAAATCGCGGCGAGGGGGGAGGAAACACTGGAACACGGCCAACTAGAGCGGGAAACGAGCCGATCTTCCTTCCAAGCCTTCCTTCGAGGAAGAGAGAGAGAGAGAGAGAGAGAGATGGCGTTTTGAAAGGGGAGGATAAAGACTAGGTTCAACCCTCGGCCGGGAAGCGCGAGGACGACACGTGCTCCTCGAGAACCGCGGCCGAACAACGACAACGAACCGGTTCCTCGCCCCTGTATACCGATATCTGTGTCGAAAGACGGGACGACAGATGTCCCAGCTTCTCTTCTGCCTACCTGCAGCAATCCAAGGATTCGAAACAGCAAGGGGATTGGCAAAGGTCGAAACACGGACGGAGCTTGTTCCGAATACCGAAAATATTTAATATATATATATCGTTTGGTCGAAATTTGGGGATTAGAGAAATAAATTGCGATGACATATCGATCCAGATACGACGTCGGCTTGTCTGGTTACGCGAAAGTAGAAAGCAATCCACGCGTGTTGTAACACGCGTTCGTTTTATTCCGATTTCTTTTCTCGATTAAGCTTTTTTCCCATTTGCGAATACGACGTGTTTTCCTGCTCACTTGGAATTAAGTATTAAGTAAGAAGAGCAATTTTATCTATTTATATTAATAGCGTGCGTCCCATTCCATCAAATCATCGTGATTTTCGATAGAAAGAAAACTATATATATATTGGATTGGATGGTTGCAAAAGATTGCCACCTCGAATCCGCTCGTTCACACGAACGTTATCGATTTGTGTCTGTAAACGGATTTTCGGACACGTTTTAATCCGCACACGAAATATATCTTTTCGCTTCGGCAAAAAGTCAGATCTATCAGAGAAGATGTGGAGCGCGAGGTGAAATTTTTCGATTGAAAAATTTGCGTTTAAAAAAAAAAGAAAATAATAGAGGAAATGGAAGGAAATCGAAGGAGGGTTATCTAATCGACTGCAAAGCTCGGTGTTGTGCTCCCCGTCTCCAAGCAACACCGCATTGCTACGTACAATTGGTAAGAAACCGATGATCGACTGCGCGATGTTGAAACTAGTGAAACTTGCGAGTGAATAAACTTAACAAGGTATTAACTTTCAAAGGCAATAATAAACAGTAGTGAGTAAGAACGTTATTGCGCAAGTATTCCGATCGATGAACAAACTCTTGAGTCATTTGCGAATTTCACGTTTTATATTAATCAATATATGTAATGTTTAAAAGAAAAAAAAAAAAAAGAGAAATTGTATTTTCAGATGAGTCCCCGCGACCTTTCGGGGGATAATTATCTCTCGAAATTACCTTGCAACTCGAGGGGTTCGTAATTATGGATGTATAAATTTTATAAAAAATAACGAATCCTTGCGTTTCGGGCAGGACAAGAGACAATCGCGACGATTAAAAGTATAAAGAAGAAGGAAAAAAAATGAGTCGTAGATTACGAGAGAGAGAGAGAGAGACACAAGTTATTTACATTTTAATAAGTAAAATAAAATTTGTAAAATTTGAAAAATGATGATCGCTGTAATTGAAACAACGGGGACGCAAAATTTAAAGCAACTACCGTGAGAAATGGAAAAGTTGCACAAAAGCTAGGCAGCTTCTCGACAGCTCTCCTCTTTGAAAAATAATTGCTTTCGAGGGTCCCCTTTCAAGTCTGCGATGATATATACAAAGCGTGCAGCTGTTGCTCCGCAGTCAGCTGATGTGAAAAGTAACCACCTTACTGGTAAATATAGATGTATTAACGCGAAATTCCATACGCGTGTGATTTTATCATTGTTTCAACGATGATTTCTAACAATAGTTTCGACGAAAGCGTCGAGAGATTTATTATAAATCGAACAAAAATTTTATATTAAACAGTCACGATTACGAGCTATTATTTAAACGAGGAAGAAATGGCTATGTTCGAATTTGATGAATCGGTTAAAAATATATTCGTTGTTCTCGTTACGATTCTCAAAATGTTGTTTTTGTCCTGGAGAGAAAATTACACGCTGTATTCTTGGTATATATTTTCGATTTATTTTATACAGGAACGATTCGAAAATAGATTTTATGCGCACGTGAATCCGCATTGAGAGGACCACGGGGCACAGACTCGGAGAATTACCCGTGCCAGCCACAGCGATTTGCATGCTATTTCCGAAAATAAAATCTCCACCGAGAGAAAAACGAACGAAATCTGGATTTCGACCTCTCTTCGCACCTCGCTTCGCACAGTACGATCGTTTAAACGCAACTACAACTCCGAATATTATTATATCTTCCCCTTACTTATTTTTCTTTACTTTTAATATTGAGATTCTGATTCTTCGTCGTAATACGTATTTCCGTTTAGATATTAAACGTAAAAAATTTCTTACTTGAAAAAACGATTCCGATATTATCCCAAATTTATCCTAATTTATTTCAACATTGAATTAGAAAAATAAAACAATTTTATCTATATGATAGTAATGCTCATTGGAATCGCTTGAAATTATCTTATTGGAAAAGAAAAAAGAAAAAAAAAAAACTTGATTCTAACGTATACGTACAAAGTTTTGAAAAAATAAAACTCGACTCGAGCTATGAAGAAAAGGAAATATTATCTCACATCGGTTGTCTCAACGTAAAGTTCATTCACGGTAAAAATTTGTCGTACGTAATTCATCGTAAATATTGATTTTTGCGAGAAAAAAGCGAGGCATGGTATCGATCGTGTACTACGATATAAAAAGATTTTCGAATTTTATTCGAAAGCTGATTATTCAAAATATATATATATATATATATCGATAAATAATAATTTCTTCAAATACGGAACGATGAACGAGTTGAGATTTGATTCGAAACTAATCCGAGTATTTTTTTTATGTATCATCGTGTCAAATCAACCACCTAACCTATCACGAGCCAAAATTTTTCCATCTCGATTCGAAATTATACTTTTGTTATATATCTCGAAAAAAGTATATATAATTTTATATACGATATGTAAATCGTATATAAATGAGAAATTATTAAAAACATTTCTATCTATTGATTGTACATTAATTGATTCAATATCTGTAAAAAAAGGATAATTCATATTTTATCGAATTTCGAGCGATAACTCGTATTAACTTTTTACAAAGCGGAAATGAAATTGAAGAACACGGTTGGAAAATCGAGGACTGGTTACTGGATATGATCGATACTAAAATATCGATCTTTCCTCGAACAATCATCTTTACCGCGAACAATGCATACACTCGACGTCTGGTTTATGACATATTATCCTATTCGCTGCAAGGCGCACGTACGCAAGGCCTATTGTGCGAATACACGCGTTTACAAGAAATACGATTTCCAACCCCGCGTGAACGAAGAGAAGAAGAAAAAAATAATGATCGAACGTGGCAAAAATCCTACCTGATATACTGAATGTATCCGTGTCTGGCGTCTTCGAGGAGGAACCCTGGGTTCCGCATCTCGACGCTCTCGAACACCATGAAGTCAACACATGCCACGGGCCAGCGATCGTAAACCTCTTTCCACGAGTCACGAGATTCGATCATTCGACGAATCTAGACACTGCACATAGACTCACTTCATGGCTCACTTCAGATTTGTTGTTCACAAACGTTGCTCCGAGGGGAAACATCGTGCCGAACCATTACCGAAAATCTCGGCCAATTACATTCGAAAACTGATCGAGTCGACTTCGAGTTTCGAGTCCGTCGGTAAGGAAGAGCTGAAACCTCGATGGCACCAAGTTCACGATGTCGGAATTCGATAAGGAAACGCGATAAAACGAGATACAACACAACGTGTCCAGTGACCGGGAAGCAAGAGAGCGGGATACACGTTCACGATTCGACGTACGCGAGGCAACTGAAGTGCGAAGCGAATCGTGGAACGGTGGGAGTCCGGTTATCCCTCCTCCGTCCCGCTTTCCCCCCCACCTTGTTCGCATCGCAACGACCCTAACCTAACCTACCGGACCAAAATGCGAGTCGGTCGGTCGATCGCGAGGAAAGCGTGGAAGGAAACACGGAAAACGGAGGGAAAGACGTGCTCCATGGCACCATAACACATTTCCGCCCTCTGTTTACGACTCTATGTGTATGTGTGTGTGTGTGTGTGTGTGTGTGTATCAAATTTCTTCCAACAAACATACCGTTTGTACTTTTATGGCTTATCCGTTCGTCTCTGTTTGTAATTTTGGACGAATCCTGGCATAATATTGGTTGGCAAGCAATTGGTTGAATAAGCTTGAAAAATCTAGATAAAAAGAAATGCGAATCGAAGGAAGAAGAAAACCTCGCGTAGATACGCGTTACGAGAAACGAATATCTATTTTATTTCGAGCACGCTTTTTCCCTCGAATGTGATGATGAATGATATTGATAAAAGTTGGATCGATATAATCGAACAATCTTCGTTCATTTCTCTATTCATTTCTAAATTCGTTAAATATACGAATCGATCAATTTAAACAAAATAACATGCGATAAAATTGAATAAAATTTAATCAAGATGATGAACGACGATTAAAAAAAAAGTGATAATTATTCGAAGTTATTTTTTAGTTTTTCTTTTTAGTCAAAGATCGAGCGAAATAAAGCGAAGTAAATGTATATCATCGATGCGCAGTATACGTATATTTCCATCTGCGTAGATACAAAGGAAGACCTTGAGGATTTTCTGTCATGCGTTTCACCCTCGAGGGAACACCAGTCTCGAGATTTCAGATATTCGCAGACCATAGTCTTTTTTTTTCTTCTTCTTCTTCTTCTTTTCCTCTTCTTCTGTACGCATGCATACATCCATTCATAATCACAAAAGATCGCGAAGGCGTAAATCACCGTTCTTCGTTTTTCTCTAATTTCATTTTCTTTTTTTCTTTTTTTTTTTTTCCCGTTGTTGTTTTGCTTTCTATTCTTTCAATTTCAATCGCCAGACGGTGACCAGCCGAAAATGTTTACCACCCAGTGAACGTAGACAAAGGAGGAGAGAAGAGAACTCGTCTGATCGTTAACTCGATCGCTAATCCACTCGCTCACCCGCACCGCCACGTCGTCTGCCGCGTTTCCCTCTTTTCTCCCCCTCTCACCACTCTCACAACCCTTTGCTGCTCTTTCCACGCACAAAGCTTTTTTTCTTCTTTCTTCTTTTTTTTTTTTGCATCGTTTGACGCTCGATGATCGCTCGATCGAGGGATTGGAATCGGCGATACGGATAGGAAACGCGGATAGAAAATGAAATAAAAGCAAAATGAGGCGAATAAACAACGGTGCGGCGATTAAACGATCTCCCGCGATAAATCGATGAATCATTGTTCGAAACAAAGAAGAGACCACAACCTTCCACACCGATATTCCTTACAATCGTATACAGACTAGTTTATATTATCGCGCAATGAATACCGAAATCCTTGAAAAGTGGTGTCGCTTATCCAGGAATCCGGCGATGTCCGATCGTGTCGACAAGGAATACATTACAATCTATTAAATACTCCCCGCTGAAACGTGAAACGACGAATATTTGCGTAACTTCGACGAAACCGGTGTTTAGACGGTTTATTTTATTTTATTTTATTTTTTTTTTTTTAAAGACATACGAACACGAGAGGAATAAATTTTGGGAAATTGTCGAAGCGATCTTTTTTTCTTTCTTCATTGAAAAATTACCTTATCGATTATTATTATTTAAAATAATTGCCACCGGTTGTCGTGGAATCGATTGGATCGAGAAGAGATGGCGCGCGACCTTTTCGAACACCCAGTGAGAAAAATTCGCGATAGAAACATAAATCGCGAGTGTTTTGTCCGTCTCATTACCAAGCCCATTGACAAGTGGGCGATAAACAGAGAGTACAGCGGAGAATCTAGCAGCAGCTGGCGGCTGCACGAGTCGAAGGTGAATGACCCCTAATAGAAGTATAAACTTTAAAAAAAAAAAAAGAAAAGAAAGAAAGAAAGAAAAAAATCAAGAAACGGGCAAGCTACAGAATATAATTAGTCGAGAAAATCGTACGTCGATACGTTCGAAGCGTGCACGTTTCGATCGCATATTCGAATAAATTTTTATCTCGAACGAGTTTTTTTTTTTTTTTACTTCTTTTCACTTCCTTTTGCTCGATCTAAAACTCCTTTGCAGCAAAGAAAAATTAATTTGTATTTCTTCTTTCGAACGGAGAATGGATAAAATTTTATACCAGACTTTATTGTACGATATGATGATAATTGATCGTTAATTGTATCGTTATAAATTATACGTGATAAATTTGAACGGGAGGGGGAGAGAGAGAGAGAGAGAGGAGGAATATATCGGGAGAATTAATACGCAAAATAAACCGATACTGGTGATCGATCTATTAAAAGGAAACAAAACGAATGCTCGCTTATCGCTTGAGAGTAATAAATCCAAATCTTCGTTATACGAACAGAAACGGCAGAATATTTCCATCCGTGTAAAATTTTAACACGAGCTCGAAACGATCTGTCCGTCCATGCAACTCTCTCTCTCTCTCTCTCCTTTGCTCGATATATCCGCGATCCGAACCCGTCGAGACGATAATTTTTCCGTCAAGGTTTACTTTACCGATCGATAATTAAGACAAGTTTAAAACCTAACGTATCTCGACCGAATATGATTCGCGGAAACGACGACAAATTTTCTTCGCGAAAATATCTCTGCCTGTTCGTCCAATATCCGCGAACCCGTGAAAGCGCCGTTCGTTTCCGTCCGTTTTTCTCACTCACTGACGCGATTATACACCGTGCACGATATTAACCGTACACTATATATACATTACGCAACCGGCAAGGTAGAAAGTCGTACCGATCAAGGCAAGAAAAGAGGCGCGCTCGCTTCCACTTCCTGCACGAATTAACCCATGTGTTTACATCGAGAAGGATGAAGGAAGTTCGCACGAGACTTTTACTCGGGAGAGCCGTGGAGCCAGTTTAATTGAATTATTTTCAAGAAGAAGGAAGCCGCGACGATGAGAACTGTCTTCTTCCCAAACAGGAAGACTTTTGCCCGCCTGTTGGTTAAGCAACGATTCTCTATCCTCCGTGCTCTTTTTCATCTCACCTTTTACAGCTCCTCGCCGCTTCGTCATCGTCCGCCGGTGCGCCAGCACCCGAATCCTGGAAAAAAAAAAAAGGATCCAATTGATAACATCGATATTCGGATAAATTTGAAAGATATTCATTCTATGCTCATTTCATTTCCAGGATACGAAAGAAAAGAAAGAAGACAATGGAATTATACAATGGAATTTCGACGAGGTGCGTATACATTGTAATAAAAATTCATATATATATATATATATATATATA